GTTTCTAATAAGTTTCACAGAGGCAGTGAATTCCAAATATGTTTCTATAGATATATAGCAGATGGATACTTGAAAATAAAAGTATTGTTATTTCATCATAAATCTCATTAAGCTCATTTGCACCATTAATTTAACCTTAGTTATCTTTGGTATAGAGAAATCTAAAGGAAGACTTCTACTTTCCCTCTACTACTACAAGAAGAGCACAGCAGTGTCTCCAAAGGCAAGACTGAGCTGAAACAACAGTCATTTTAGTGCATGTTTCAGTAGTGTAACTGAATTCCTGGTTTTGCACAGCACTTTATAAGATAAACACATTTACTGTAGAACATTTACCAGCATCTGCAAGGGCAAGGGTCTGAAAGATTTTTAAAATTTTTTATCTTGTTCTACATATTTGTTTTCATTTCTCCAGCTATCACATACAGTTCTTACGCAGATCAATCTTTCTCACAACCCCCTCTGCAATGGAAGGGAATCAAACTAAAGCTAGGACAGAGATTTAATAAGATACAGGGTGCATGTAAAATGTAACAGATTTACAATGGCTTATGTCACATGACCTACATTGACATACATAAGAGCTAGCAAATAACTCAGATGATGATGACTTTTCATGCAGAAATATATATCAAAGGTTTCTTCTTCATTTAAAGGACAGGCAATTTTATTGCTATCTTCAAAAACAAGTGAATACTTTCAAACCCAAGTCTGGACTTGGATTCCCACATCTAAACAAATATAACTTAATACTTTCTCTCCATTAACATAAATTTAAAAGATGTTTATTGTACCCCACACGTTTTTCAATATCTGGCCACTTTTATGTAAGTATTGATTTAGGAGACACCATTTAATCACAGAATCCTAACCCAAATCTCCTTTTACAGCTTTATAGCACTCTTGCGAATGCACAGTTCATGACTGTCAATCATTTACATGACTTAAGCTCACTTATGGCAGAACTTGATGGTTCTTAAAAGAGTTGCTGACATTGAAGCCCACTTTACTCATGGTAATGATATAAAGCAGAGCCTTCACTTGATGTGGAAAGAAGCAAGATGAAAAAAATACACTTTGCATGAAAGAACACAGGTCCCACAAGAAGATGTGCAGCTGAATTTTTATGAACTAAATCAGACTACTACGGTAAACTTCTCCTGTACCATCCCTCTTAAATGGCTCAAGTGATGGGCTGAAGTTCTCTAAGCAAAACTTCTTGCACTTCAGATATTTATACAGACAAATGTCTCTGCTGAACACACTTTCATTATCCTAACTCTGACTACTTTTGCACATCTCCTGTTTACTAACAAAAGGTAAGCAATTTGCAAGGGCTACCTTGGAAGCGATGGCAATGGTATTTACATTCTTAAAAGAGCAGCTAGTGATTTAATGTATAAACTTGAGGAGTGGCTTGATATATACTGGTGACTGGGAAAGAGACAGCCAGCAGCGTTACAAAACGTACTATTTATTTATTCTTTTCATGAAGGATACTGTCCTCAACAACTGTCAATCCACTGCTCAGAATATAACCTCTATTTTAAAAGGAAAAAACAATGCCAAGTAATCTGTGTACTTAGTGGGTGTTTTGCCTTCTTTGGAGTGAAACCAGTAGATACTGAACATATTTCATTTTTTTGCCAATGGTATTTTCCCTTTTTTTTCCCTTTAGTTACAAGGCTATCAGAAGAGTAGTACTCCTAATCAAACATATTCTATAAGCTACCTGACAGCATGTATTTTGTAGACTGCAGTCAAAAACATTGCATTTGTTTTAAAAACCAAAAAACAAACAAGCAAACAAAAAACAAACAAACAAACAAAAAAATAAACCAAAAAAACCACAAAACACTCACACCAAAAACCCCATCTTTCCAAAACATACTCCAGTGAATAAACTAGGTTCCCTCTCCCTTTGCCAACCCAGCAAAAAAAAAAAAAAAAAAATCACAAAATAAACAAAAGAGAAAAGAAGGGGAGAGGGGGAGGGGGGAAGTTAACTGATAATATTGACTTTTTTTAAACTCAAATCTTCATTAAAGCTGTTTTGGTCTGAGTTTTCTTCATTAATTTTCTTCTGTTGCAAAAGTGGTCAAAAATTACATTTCTAAGAGTTCTACTTTACTCTGAAGCTCTATTTTAAATTGAAGGGTTCTGAATCTAGGTTGTTTCTATTTGAAACATTACCTAGCAAAATGATATGTTTCATCTGGAGAAAAGCTCTAGAGGCTTATTTGAATTCATGTTACCCAGAGTTGATCCTCTTTGGGTTTCAAGAGCAACCCCAAAGGTGCGTTCATGAGCCAGATGCAAATTCTACTGCTGTCTAAAATGTAAACTTAAAACTTACACCTTAAATTTTCCTTAGGGACTCTTTCTTTAGTTTATGATATATATAAAGGAGTAATCTGAGCATCTATATGAAGGCCAGAAAAAGAGAAAGACTCTCAAGTTTCTTCTCTAAACAGGAGGAGGGGGGCACAGGGGATGGGGAAGCCTCTCTGGCTCTTGCTTAGTTGTTTGTGTTTCTTTTAATTCAAGCTGTAAAGCAGGTGTACTTAATTACTTAAATATCAAGAAACCTTTTAAAACCAAATATCTAAACCACCTTATTAGCATAAATATATTTTTCAAGACATAGTATCTTAGAGACTTCTTTGTGATAAAAACATTACAGATTTTCTCTTTCCACCAATATTAAAACAAATTCGTAGTCCTTAATTACTTAAGATGAACTATTTTTAGACTAATACCATTTGCACATGTTGAAAAACACGTTCAGAACTGAATCTTCACCATCTGGAACCTTGGCCAACACTGCGATGAGTTTTTTGGGGGAGTATTTTGTTGGGTTTATTTGCTGAGTTTTAGCAGGGTTTTGCTGGGGGGGTGGGAAGTGGTTTTTCTGGGGGGAGGTTGGTTAGTTAGTTGCTTTTTTTCTTTTTTTTTATTCTTAAGTTTGGAAGGGGAATTTTAGAATCTTGGCAACATCACAACAGTCTGTTAGAGAAGCTGACAGCAAGCTCTGAAGAGCATGTTCAGTGCAGCAGTATAGATGCATTTGTATCCTCAGAATAGGCTGGGAAGAACATTTACCTCAACAGCAAAACTTTGAAGCATGTAGCCCAGCTGCAATAGAGAACCTGGACTAAAACGAGCCCAGGTCTGTGTGGTACAGAGGAAGTCAACCCTTGCACATAAAAGCAACAAAATACATTATAATACTTGACAATTCTTAAAGCTGCTAAGAATTGGTCAACTACTGTTTTAAACTACTGTTTGGAGGCATTAGAAAAAATGCCTCCAAAATATAAAGCAGTGCCAAAAAGAAGGTTTAGCTTTTAATCCTTTCCCTGAAATGATAGTCCCCACAGAAGCAGGATGAATACCAGTAGTTCAGCATGCAAATTTCTCCCACAAATAGGAGAAGAAAAAAGCATGCTGCAAGCTCATTAACAACACCTGTCAAGACACATAAAAAGGTGCTGCAATTTAAGAGACTGATGCAGAAAAGTCAAGATAGACAACTCAAAAATACAATCATCCCCCATAACTAAATTTAAAAAAATCACAACTGCAAATTCTATCTGATAAGTCCCTGGAAGAAGAAAAAAAAAATATACAGATTCTCCAACTATTTAGCACTTAAATAGAAATTTATGTCCTTCTGGGAGCCTGATATGTCGATTAAATCCATACAGCCTGGAAGCATCAAAACATGTCACAGAATTTACTGAGTTGGAAGGGACTCACAATGATTATCAAGTCCAACCCTTAGGCCTGCACAGGACCATCCCCAAGAGTTACACCATGTACCTTAGAGTATTGTCCAAACTAAATAAAGAATATTATTTTCCAAAAGACAATGCACTCCAAGTCCTTAAGACTTGTCTTAAACTTATGGATTGGAGTATATGGAGTATAAATGTTATTAAGGCAGCACACAGACACACAGCTTGATCTTCCATAATTTTTTGTTCAGTTTTGTATTACTTTGAAATTTAAGAGTTGAGCCAAATAAATACTTCTATATTCAAAATATGAGTGAGCAAAAAAAAAAAAAATATAACGCTCTCTTTATCAATACAACAAAAAAACAGCGAGGGCAACACTTTATTAATTATACCTGCTTAGTAGTGGAAATGGAAGCAGTGCTAATTTGGTGAGTTGCATTTTATTAAGGCTCAAGCTCCAATGACTATGTATGAAAGCCTTTTTCAATTAAAATAGAGTTGTTCAGGGCAAAGTTCACGAATGCAGAAGATTCCATTAGCACTGTAATATTTGCTGATCATATTTAAGGAAAAGCCTTAAGTTGGAGGGGGTCATATAGAGCCCCCTTCATGCAGCAAGAGAAGGAAATATAAATGTTAGCATTTGTTTTTTAAAAAAAACAAAGCCATAAACGTATGTAAATTCTGCATTGGGATTCAGTTCTTAAAATATCTCTATTGTTGTCTTGGTTTCTATTTGCTTTCCACAATACCCGAAATTGGCATTTTTTCAGAACTGTTAGATAGAGTGCCTTTACTTGTTAAAGATGCCCAGAGTTCTGGTTAGGGACTCCTTGGCCCTGCTCAGAATTGGTTTTGCATAGTAACAAAGGGGTGATTTTTCAACCAGTTGTCACATCCCTAAAACTCGGGGGGTTCTGGGTGCTTAAGAGATCACACTTCTGGTTACAAGACCTGCAGGTAAAGCTGGAGTAAGACACCATAACCCCACGCATGGAGCCCATTCTCTGGCTGTACCACCACCATTCCAGGGCAGTCCTGTGCACTGAACAGTGATTCTTTTACCTGCACCCATTGCCAGGCTGGCAGAAAAGCTGCTGAACGTGATCATGAACAGAGATCTTAACACTTGTGGAATTTCCTGCTTTGAACTATTTTTGGTATTATTCTAATGCAAATTCCCTAGCACTTTTATGCATATCAATGCTGCATTAACAAGCATTTTTAAGATTTCAAAGTTTTCCATTATATCATCCTTACCTATGTAGTTTATCCTCTAGAATCTCCATGTACTTCTCAGCATTTTCTTTTACACTGGTCACTACAAAATAAAGGTCAGAGTTAGGTAATGGTATAACTGCACAGTTTTGTGGGGGCTTTCTTTTTTTTTTAAACCAACTCAATTCTTACCCACATATTTTACATATATCAGTCAGGAATAAGAATTCCATTAATCTTTTTCACATTCAAATTACAGTGTGGGTGTCTTCTCCCTTTTTTCTTGAAAGTCTATTGTATCTGTATTACAGTAATATATCTAGCAATGAACGCATTAACCTCTTGGTTGGGCCAGAAAAATGGTAAGACTAACAAAGGCATAGTTTGTGGAAGTTTCCTCTTGACAAAAACAAACAAACAAACAAACAAAATCATCCCCACAAAAAAAGAAACAGCACCCACACAGCTAGGTCCTCCCCTTTACCTTTAGGAGAAGGAAGCAAGCCTAATGCATGCATAACAGTCCTTTAAAATGTCATGAATCTTGTATCAAACTTTTTCTGATAAAACCAAAAAGGTTTTATTAGAAAAGAAATACCACTCAAGACCATTATGAAATTTAGGTTGTGCTTTTTTGTGGTTTGGTGTTTTTTTTTTGGGGGGGGGTTGTGTATTTGTTTTTAAAGTTCAGACTTAGACATTGTCTGAAAGAGTCCCTACAGCTTTTTCACCCAGAACTCCAACAGACCATAGCACACAACAATAAAGCCATTCCTTTGGATGATCATTGGTACTTACCAATGGTACAAATGGGGAAAAGGTAAACCTCCTCCAGGAAAATGGAGGCTTTTAGATAATAACCATTTTCACACTATGATAACTTTTCCCCCCTCCCTAACAGCTGCTTGCCAACTTCAAGTCTAGTAGGACTGTAAATCAGGCGGTCTCTATTATAAAGTCTTAACTCATTGTACATCAATTAAATATATATTTTACATGAATATACATCCTATGGAGCATCACTGTTTTTACAGGCAAAACTTGTGATATGGATCAGGTACCCTGTGAATTTACCGACTCATCTCCCCTATCTTCCCCACAATACAATGCCATTCAGCACAGCTTACACATATCAAGTGCTTCACATATTTCTCACTTTTCCCTTTTGTGTTTGTTTATTGGGGCTTTTTTCTTGAAAAAGTAGAATGTCACATGCACTAAAGCTGAACCTCAAAACTCAGCATTAATCAAATCAGGTGTGCTAAAGTTTAGTTCACACACACACACACACACACACACAGGGGTTCACTGAGGTCATACCATTAGCAGCAGGTATGAGGGTCAATGTAATATCGACTATCTGCCGAAGGTGGTGTTCACCTTGTCACACAGCAGTCACACATCACTGAAGCACTCTGCATCCCAATAGCAAGTACGGAACACATTTTGCCAAGTTGATTTACTTTTTGGTTGGTTTATTGTTTTGTTTATTTTACGAGTTTATTGGATTAGCAAACAAACAAAAAAAAAACCTCCCACAAACCTGAAACAAACAAAAAACCCAAACTCACCACAACCCCAGTACTCCAGAAGGATGATTGTGCAGTATTATATTGTACGTAGACAACTGCATTAGCTTATACATTCACAGATCCAACTGACCATTAGAAGAGTGCTGGTAGATGTTATGCAAAAGGTTCTATAAGGATTTCTGCAATGGCACTGGAGACTAAACACCTTTTCCTAGCTTGTAGCAGTTCTGTAACAACTACAGGGCTTAGTGGAAGTTCACAGTTTCCTTACCGTGCTCTTATTCCTACACTTCGTGTGGAACTGCAGAGAGTCGGCAAAACTGTAAGTCTTCCTTTAATGACACATTTTAATGATCACCACTTTTCCAAACTCCCTATCCGTCAATCCCCAAATGCGCTGACCTGAGGCCCAGTGCATGCTTTGACAGCAAATAGCTTCAAGGTGTACAGGTGCCGTACTTCCCCTTCTCTTGCCATTGTCACAGTGTCCTTCAACATGAGCCATTACAACTCAGGGGCTTATTCTTTTCGATAATAAAGTCAGCAGATATTATTAGTTTTTGGAGAGGGATGAGAAGAGGTGGAGAATCTGTTTCACACTGGCTTTGTTTCTAACCGATATAGTGGCTTCTTATGTTACATGAAAGATAAACCTTGCTTTCAATTTCTCCTGCTGTGCTTGTCACTTTTTAATTGGGTTTGATCTGATGGAGTAATTCGCACTTTCACAGTTCAGTCCTGCCCCTACATGCAATTTTACAATGCCCTTGAAGCACACAGCTTAATATATCAGCATTATTCAATGACAAAAAGTAATGGACAAGAATACACCACTAGTAAAAAGTAGGTCAGTAAAAAGCTAACACTCATTTGGAAATCACCTCACATCACTAAACCCTACTCTCTCCTGTCAAACATTTTAACTACATTAAAAGAAATGCAAACTTTGCTGCTGAAAGAGAAAGCTCCCTAGACTATCTTTGTCTCCTTGCCTTCTTCTGCATGTAATTGGAAAAGCTGTAACCTGGAGATTTTGCTGGAAGGAAAATGCAGTTTAAAAATCTGATTAAGGTTACTTCCCTTGCAATAAACTGCAAATGGCACTACAACAAATACAGAAATACTTTCAGTCTTTTAGATTATCCATTAAAATATAAGACAAGCAACAAATTAGAAAATTTTTTTTTGTTCTAATTTAATGAATTTATTCACCAACACTTCAAAGCAAAAAAATGCATACAGGAAACTGTGTATGCCTTCAATCTGGCCAAGAAAGTACTAGATGACAGAGAAAAAAAAAAAGAAATAATAATTTACGAGATTCTTTTCTGCATGCCAAATGGTTTATTTTTACATTTAAGTGAATGGGATTGCCTTTTTCATAAGTTCCCTGGGGATTTACATGCTTAGCTCATATTGGCCTTGAAGGGAGTTATTAAAATAAAGAAGTATAAATACTCCATTAAAATAAAGAAGTATAAATACTCACAGAAGATCAGACACCAGGGAATTTGCAAAGACTAAAAATAAACTTTTCTTATGAAGTCTTAATTGAAGAAAAGTGAGTCAGCATTTCCTTCTCTTATTTTTTCATAAAGTTTTCTTCCTCCTTAGAGCAGCAAAGTCCAATCTTGGAATCAGTCCTGGTTAGACAGAGTTGAAGAGCAGCAGTGAACTCCTGTGGTGGCCTTTTAGTTGTAATAGAGCATAAATCTGCCATTTTAAAAGCTGCATAAATACCTTTCAATAATTAACCTACATAGCGTTCTTTTAAAATAACATCACGTGTCATTTCTCATCTGAAAGCAGCCCCAATGGGGTAATGCTATTTCTGTTACTTACAAAGATTATTCAAGCCTGCATATGAAAGGATATCATCACTTTTATTCTTTGGTCTTTTATTCTTTGGTCCTCAAAAATTGAGCTTAAAAAGACATATGGGCCATGATATATGCTTTGGGTTCTATTATCAATATTTTCTAAAATAAAGTATCTGACTGGAGACACCTTGAACACAGTGTTCATATGGACATTCCAGATGTGGATGCTTGGCAACTCAGAAGAATAAGTCTTTAAAACTGAATTACGGGCCTAAAAAAAATCGTAGTCAATATCAGAGTAGTTTTTTACATGCTACCCCACAGGTCTGTAGTTCTCTCCCAGAGAAGCGATGTACTGCGTCCCAAAGATACAAAGTCCAAAGTTAATTTTTGCCTTCCACCCTAAAAGGTATTATTTCTTTTTTCTTTTTTTAATGTGTGGACAGTGTGGATGAATAATGTGAACACACATTTTTACACAAAATTAAAGGTTGGAAGAGCTGCAATGGCTGCTGGAAGATCAAGACCCAGCATGAAAAGAACTGCCAGACATTACCTGCCTGCATGCTGAACCTCAAGCCTACAAAATTAGTCTCTCCAATTCGCAAGCATTTTGTTCCTTCTCAAATACCTTATTAGTCAGGTATGGCAAAACTCCCAGTGGCTTCAGGGAGATTTTTGCCTGACTTAAGGTCTAGGATGAGATTAGTCTCTTAAGAATGATATAAAAATAAAAGTAACTACATGAACATGCATTGATCCACCTGGGGCAAACTCTGAGGGCAGAATTAGGTGTGAACAAGGTTGACATGTTGCTTGTCCTGTCACTATTCTATTTTTTAAGTGTAGAAATTGTTATTAATGCTAAGAGAAAAGCAAAAGCAGAAAATGATTCTATGAAAATGATTCTAATCTCTTCTGTCATGGAAGATGTACTACATTAACGTGTGAAGTTGGGCTCTGAAAAACTGAAGAATGGTTTCGATACATTTAAAGGTTAACTTGAAAAGACAGTCAAACTTCAGAGATGACACCTCAGCTGCTCAACTATGTGTCAAGATGATTTATCCAGCCCCCAGTAAGAAGATTTTGGATTATAGAATGGTAAGGAATTTTGCATCCTGCAGACAGACAGGGGATAAACCCAAAGAACAAGCTCTGTGTGAAGAACAATGGCCTCCCTCCAGTGCATTGTTCCCAAAGAACTCTAGAAAGAACTAAAAAGGCCAGGATTAAAGACAGGAAAACAAGTGCTTTGATAAAAAAGTGCAAATACTCAAAAAAGAGGAATGAAATTCTGTGCTGGTTCACTGACTGTTTTTCAGTAATGAAGTATATACTAAGATATGTAGTTTGAAGTATATACTGAGATATGTAGTTATTACCTGTCTCTTCCAGGAATTGTGGTTTGTTCTAAGGAATGTGCTAATCCTCAAAATATCACTGCAAAACAGCACAAAATTTGCCTGAGGAAATTACTGCCACCAGAGATGAGGTGACCAAAATTTAGGAGTCCAAATGGACTGGGTATTCCATAAACAGAAACACTACATAAAGGTGATCTGGAAAGACTAAAATCTGAACATCTAAGAAATCAAAGCCAGACATTTAAAGATGTAGCCCAATCTTACTTGATGGAGTTGAAAATACCCTCTCCCTAGTTAGAGATGATTTCATAACTCAATCACAAAGTTTGTCCCTCCTGAAAACAGCTGGCCTGGAGAATAGGATACTGTCAGACCACACAAATG